TATGACTGTGTCAAACCTTGATTGACTGTCATGAGCGACCGTTGCGCTTACTAAAGCCATAGTGCAAGTTAGCAGTCGAAGGTGTTGATTTTCCATGCGCTATAAGCTTGTCTCGAGAAAAAAGTGCGCTTCACTGACTTTTATCCAAAATACACTCAGCGATGTTTAGAAAAAGCGGAAGCAAACTAAGGGAGCCTACACACCGCACCATTGCCGCTTTTGCAGCCGGGGCGCGCTGGGATTTCATGTGCGGAACACGTAAGGAGGACTCATTCGCACACATAGGATTTCTGCATGGTTCGTCAGTCGTTTTGTCGCTTTTTTTCGTTTTAGTGGTTCAGGATGTACCGAACATTCCCATATGATTGAATTGATCTAGTTGCCATTTCGCTGTTCCACAGTGCTAGCGTGAGTTCTTTTGGTTTATCTTTCGGTACACTACGCTAAATTACATTAGTCATATGATGAATTTCTGGTTTCATGGTCATAAAATAGACGATACCTCAATCTATTTTGTAGGGATGTAGAGAAAACCTGTCTGGCACTTTTTCGCTCACTTTGGCACTAGCTCCGTAGCTGGAGGTAGACCAAAAAAAACTTTCTTCAAAAATTCGGCGACATCAACTTCATGTAACAAAGAAAAGCCGGCAACCATATTAAATAAACCACATCTGCATTGTAATTGTTTTGTTTACTACAACATAGAAGGAACCCTCACGAGAACAGCGGTAAAAAAAAGAAGCAATTAGTAAAGCTTTCGTGCGAATAATTTCCCTTACGCCCACAGAGAAATTTAACCCAGTGCGCTTCGGAATGTAAAAGGAGCCATCGGCGCGAAAGCTGCTACCGGGGGTAGAAAAGTGGCAACGGGGCGTCTGGAGGCTTCCTGAAGCTTGTAGGGAGTTTTATCATCGATTTCTTCGCGATAATCGCTCACGCAAGTTGGACGAAGATGCGTGCATCGAGTTTTACACTATCTGTATCTTCTAGAAACTTTCCCAAATTCATGTGATCTGCTATCAAGGCTAAACAGCGGCACTAACTTTTAGAGTCATAAAAGCGTAAATTGACAATCGAACACTATTCATACACGCTCATCTACACCCCTAATAGAGATAAACAGTTTATTGGCATTCAAATGAGTACGACGCATGTGCTGTATTTTCGCAAGTGTGAATGAAATGATGGCGTGTTCAGATGTGCCACTTCATTCTTCAAAGCAATAGTTGTCGGTATCGCACGTATTCATTTGGCATACATAGCTGGCGAGCTTTGTCTCGCAGTTCACATTCTGCCAACCAAACTGCAAACAATGTTCTCAGTACAGCGAAACTGCGTGAAACTACATCTCTAAACATTTTTGGACAAAAATTCTCGCGCTAACCTCGTAGCTGTTTGGTGCTTTGGTAGCAATTACGCATGTTGCATTGCCATCCAGAGATGGGAAACCCTTGTTCCACTTTTGGAAGTCAGTACTTGCCATCTGGAAGAAAAACCTATTGATGTCAAACTCAAAGATGAAAAAGAGTGAGTACAATAATCGCTGGGTCTGAGCTTGCAGGCTGCTCCCAGAAATAGCTGTTCTGAGCCGTGTCGTAAGAGAGCCCAATGTGGTACGTGTCTGATGTCACGTACGGGTACGGGGACCTAGTGACTAGGTCCGAAAACAACACTGAAAAAAACTTTATCGCCTATATGAGAATGATAGTGTGATAAAAGTCTGTAAGGTAACTACATGCGACGAAGTCGTGCTTTGCTTTGCTGAAAACAGTAACGAGATGACCTGATCCGTCGCTCGAGCAAGACTCTTTAGCCCAATTCCATCTGGTTTTATCGGCAACTATATGAGCGACTTCGAGCTGCGTTTGAGTCATTTTCGATCAAGTCTTACCGACTTCCAGGCAAATTCCGTATTTTAGGTTTCCAAAGGTGTACTGAACCCAATGCTTTCTGCAGAAGCAGTTTGCTGGATTATACGACTGATTTGCAAAGACCTGGTTAAGATCCAACTTTACCTGCACAAAGTGCATGCTGAATTTTGCTGGAAAGATTAGGTTCTGTATGTATGTAATAGAAATCCGCTGTGGCAATCTGCAAAAATGGGGTATTCACGACTGTTACAATAAGACTGCTCGCCACCACATACTGAGCGGAGCTGTTGCAAAACTTCGGGTTCGCCACCATAATCGAATGCAATAATGAGGATTATCTTCCCGCTTCTCTTTAATTGGTCCGCCACAATCCAAGCGTCTTCAAAGTAGCTGTACCTTAAGTTGAGTACATGGGCATGCAGAAAACAAGAAAGCCACATCTAACTGACCCGTAAACGCTGACATAGATAATAATCACTTCTTTGACGTTCTTTCTAAATCCATTAACGCGCCCCTTGCTGAAGATCTGTGCAGCTTTCATAAGAGCACTGGAATATATAGGATACTAGCTGGCAAACACGGCTCCGGACGGCCGTGTCAATAATACGTTAACGAGCATGTTCACTTACCTCCCTCTACCAACTCCCAGCCCCGTAGCTCAAACTTTGAAAAAATCGATAAATATTCTCGGTCGACAATGAAAAGTAATCTACGACACCCGCCCCGCTATTTGTGCCAAGTTTGGTGGATCGGTTCAAAAATAAAAATCTCTATTCGGAGCATAAGTACAGACAGACACACACAAACAGACATCCAGCTTATATATAGGGCGTCCCAAAAAAATGTATCGAACGTTTGATCTTTAATAACTCCCTTGTTTGAAAACTTTTCGCTGAATTAATAAAAAGAAACCAAGAAACAACATTACAGTGCGCAGACGGTAAGAAGCCGGCGAATACGGTAGCGAAGAACTTCTAATTAGATTCAGCAGACCCGAAAACCTTAGTTTGATGTCCTTCGTTTTTTTTTT